GCCGGCCCGCGGTGCCCCGCCAGGCTGCCGCAGAGAGAGGCCGGGAGCTGCAGCCGCAGGGCGGAGCGGACGGCGGACTTGGTAGCCACCAAGTGACCGGCAGCCCGAGCTGGCTGGGGGCCCCCTCCCCATGCCCGCCCCGCGGCTCCGCTCCGGTGGGGCCGGCCGGGCAGCCCCGCCTTAGAGGGGAGGCTGGAGCTTGTGCCGCACCCGCCACCTTCTGCCGGTTCTGGATAGGCATTTGGAAAAGATTCCCGGCCGGTCCGGAGGTCCAGCTTCCGAAGCCTACGTGCACGTTGGGCATGTTGCGAAGAATGATCGTGCTGAGTGCGGCTGTGATCTGTCCTTAAAAGACCGGCAGCGGACAAGTCGGTTCCCATCTAGGCTTGTTCTTACAGAGACACTGCAGTTTAAAGCTTCAAGAACGAGTCCTCTCACGGGTCCTACCTGCGAGCAAGGCCCATCTGGTGAGTAGGCGGCCACTCGGTGCACCCCCCATCCCCCACCCCCCGTCTGCTGTCTGACCGAGGCCCAAGGGTGGCATGTCTGGGAGCACCATGAGAAGTGGCATCTTGGAAGGATGCTCTTTCTCTCTCACTCATCGTGTTGTAGGATTCAGTGGTTGCTCCACATTGGTCCGGGACGTTTACTTCTTTGTATATTTGGGGCAGGATTTTCTTCCTCACGGTGCAATCACTAGGATGCGGCTCCTTTCTCTACCAGGGAGTCACAGAGGACCAAAGTCATAATCAGATAAGCCACATGTGCCTCCTAGAAACTTCCAACAAAAGTTGGGCTCTCCCACTCTCTAGGGAGCTACGATAAACGGAGTTGGACCAAGCCACTGTAGAGGAATTGCTCAGGAGCCGGAGTGGGGGTGGGCCGCCCGGATGGCCTGATGGAATTGGGTTGTTTCCTGCGCTTCCTGTTAGAAATCATTCTACAATGGCCCGTGTTGTGGGGAAGTGCTGTATTTCCTCCGTTGGAAGGCAGGTCCCTACCTTCCTGAAACCAGGATGCATTTTCTCCAGGAGGTTCAAGGAAATTTGCCAGCTGCTGGGTGCCGGAGTGGGTAGTGATGTGTCTGCCACTGCTTGCTTATGTGAAAATAAAGCCATGTGATTATGTCATCAGTTGAGAGACTGGAAATGAATTTTAAATTAAGGACTTCTAATTATTATTATCATTTTTAATGACTTTAAAAGATAATGTTAGGATGCGGCATTCAAACGAGAGGTTTGTAATGTTTATTAAAAGGTTTGCCTTATGCTGAGCCTTGTCTCATGTAATCAGAATTGCAACCCTATGCAGTACGATTTTTATTCCCATTTTATAGATAAACTAAAAAACTTTGGGTTTTCTGTGCCAGGATCAAGATTCTAAAAGGAACCGTGGTGGTGTAATGGTTAGGTGCTCAGCTGTTCATCAAAAGACTAGCAGTTAAAACCCACCACCCAGCCTCCTGTGGGGCAGCTCTGCTCTGTCTGATGGAGTCACTCTGAGTTGAAAATTAGTTCATCTGCACACAGCAGTGGGATTTTAACTTAGACTGTCTGATCTTACAGCCTGTCCTGTGAACCATGTAACATACTGACTTCCCCAGTCTGTGTGCAGACAGGATGCAGGCAGCTTTCAAGAGGGGAAGTCAGGGGAGGGTTTATGTATGTGTGTGTATTTTTGTTTGTGTAAGGAAATGAGAGAGAGTGCCATATCCAAGGGCTCTGATTTTACTTATTCCTGCCTTGATGCCAACTGGTCATCTTTGGATCTTTTGCAGTTTTTAATCTATCCCTGGGCGTTCTGAAGCTCTGGTGGTGTGGCAGGTGCTTCTGAAGCCCTTTGGCCCATTTAGAGGCAGGAGCTCAAACCTACCTTGCCGGCCGCCTCCTGAGATGGTACTTAGCCTAAGAAGGGAGTCAGTTTGTCAGACTTGTTGAAGTTACATTGTCCTCCAGGAACCTCCAGGAATTGGTGCTGAGGGACAGCCAGAGTCCCGCGGGCAGGCTATCATGGTGAGAGGAGGCCACACAACTGCGAAGCTTCTCATATGTGCTTCTGACAGTTTCCTCATCAGAAGCAGATACACCCAACTGTGCCTCCTGGGCTGAGACCGGAGGATCCCTCTGGAGTGCAGGCTTCATCATGCCACAGCAGCTCCCGATCACCTTGCCCTTGGAGGCCAGCACCTCGGTAAAGCTGCACCATCCACAGAAGACCAAGAAGGGGGTGTCCCCGTGGGAGGACTTCACTACAGTGCTCCAGGGAGAAGGTGAGACTAGACTGATGGCGGGTGAGGGAAAGAAGAAGAAGAAGGTATCCGTAACTTGTAAAAAGTAGGTAGAACGAGGTGTCGAAGGGATCAGGTATAAGGCATCATCAGAACAAAAAATCTTACCATAGTGAAGATGGGGGGAGTGCAGAGTGGAGACCCAAAGCCCATTAGTAGGCCACTGGAGATCCCCTTGCAGAGGGGTCTCAGGGAGGAGATGAGCCAGTCAGGGTGCGATGTAACAACAACGAGAAATACAACTTAACTCTAGTTCCTAAATGTTTCCTCCCCGCTCCCACTACCATGACTCGAATTCGACCTTGCAAGTCTGGCTAGACCAGAGGATGTACACTGGTACAGATAGGAACTGGAAATACAGGGAATCCAGGGCGGATGAGTCCTACAGGACCAGTGGTGTGAGTGGCGAAACAGGGAGGGTGGAGGGAGAGTGGTTAGGAAGGAGGGAACCGATTACAAGGGACTATATGTGACCTCCTCCCGGGGGGTCGGACAACAGAAAAGTGGGTGAGGGGAGACGTCGGACAGGGCAAGATATGACAAAATACCAATTTATAAACTGTCAAGGGCTCAGAGGAAGGGGGGCGCGGGGAGGGAGGGGAAAAACGAGGACCTAAAGTCGGGGGTTTAAGTGGAGAGAAAATGTTTTGAAAATGAAGTACAAATGCGCTTTACACAATTGATGTGTGTATGGATTGTGATAAGAGTTGTATGAGCCCCTAATAAAATGTTTAAAAAAAAAAAAGTAGGTAGACCTTTCATTCAGGGGGGCTCTGGGGAAGGTGCCCCTGAGCCAAGCCATGATGTTTTCATTCACCGCATATGCATGCAAAAGCTTGTCAGTGAAAGAGGAGGACCCAGGAAGGAGTGCTGATGAAGAGTATTGACTACCAGAAGAGTAAACAGATCTGTCTTGGAGGAAGTACAACCAGAAATGCGCCATCGAAGCGAGGATGGTGAGAGTTGGTCTCACATACTCTGGATGTGTTATCAGGAGGGCTCCCGGGGAGGGGCGTCATGCTTGGGAGAGGGTGTGCCACAAAGAAAAAGCTCTTCAACACTGTGGGCTGACACGGTGGCTGCAACAATAGGCTCAAAATGGTGCAGCGCCGGCTAGTGTTTCCTTCTGTTGTGCATAGGGCCCTATGAGTTAGAACCATCTCGGTGACACCTAACAAAAACAATTTGCGGAAGCATTAGAGGAAGGAAGGTCTTTGGAGTTCCTATTTGCAGCTTTTGGGAAGAGGGGCGCCGTGAGAGACAATGTTAGGCTCTTAGTGTGCCATGTCCTCTATCCTGTGATCATTTCTCATCTTGGTTTACATCATGGAAGAGGAAGACCGAGAATACGGAATGTTCCCCGTGAGCTGCTCCGGAGTTTGTTTTCTTGAGGGGACACTTAAATATTTCTGCCCCTTAAGCCAGCTAGCAGTTTTCCTGCACAAATTTCTCTCATTTTAACCATAAACCATTAGGGTTTAACCTTAAACCATTAAGGTCATTGCTTGCTTTTCTTCTTATCTGAAGGTTGAGAGACCGAAACATTGTACCAATTACTCTTGTTTTGCCTTGACATAAATGGGATCAGTGCCAAAATTACACATTACCTAGGTGGCTAGATGGTAGAGTAATGAATGTGCCTCATGTGATTACTTAATTCATGCCTGTAACACTTCAAATTCAGTATTTGTTTTGTTCTAACTATGGTAAGTATTTTGTCAGATAGAAAAAATGAATAATTACCAATAGTAGTACCTTTTATTACTTTTATCTGTGTATTTCTCACTCCTGTTGAGTCAATTCTGACTGATAACGGCCCTATCTCCATCAAATAATAATTGTTCTTAGATGTCAGCAAGTCACAACTGACCCATAGTGACCCCGTGCACAACAGATTGACACACTGCACGGTCCTGTGCCATCCTTATAATTGCCTGAGCCCATTGTTACAACCGTTTTCTTAGGATCTGGCTCCTTAGAGGCAAGGATGTAAGACTTTGTCTTACCTACTTTGGCCATATTGTCAGGAGAGAGCAGTCCCTGGCAAAGGACATCGTGCTTGGTAAATGGAGGCAGAAAAAAAGAGGAAGGCCCTCGATGAGATGGACTGACACCATGGCTGCAACAATGGGCTCAGGCGTAGAGACAGTTGTAAGGGTGGCGCAGGACCACGCAGTGTTTCGTTCTAGTGTGCATAGGGTCACTAGGGGTCCCAACTGACCCAGTGACACCTCACAACAATTACTGATGGAGATAGGGTGAATGTGAGTCAGAATTGACTCCATGGGAGTGAGTTGGAAATGGAGAGGTACCCAGGTAAAAATAATAAAAGATAACCTAAAAAAGACCTATGGTGAAACACTTTTTGGGGAATATGTTGTTCTTGTTAGGTGCCATCAAATTGGTTTTGACTCATAAGAACCCTCCATACGAACAGAATGAGACACTGCCTGGTGCTGCACCATCCTCACAACTATTAGGTTTGAGCCCATTGATTTTGGAATATAGGGGCCAGGAGACTTCTGTTTGTACTTACCTGAGAACATTTCCCAAAACTAATTTTGAATTGGAGCTTGGAAAATGTCTTACTTTTTTTTTTTTTTTTTTTTTTTTTTTTTTTTTTTTTTTTTTTTTTTTTTTTTTTTTTTTTTTTTTTTTTTTTTAAAGATATAGAGGACTTGGGAAAGTACAATACGGAAGTGAGCTCCTTCAAGAGTAGTTCAGAGAGTGAAGACGTAGTGAAGTCCGTAGTCTAACTGAGAGTTCCGAATGTGGTGGATGGTGTGGCCCATGTAGAATGGATGGTATCTCCTAATGGCCAGGGTGACCGTGTTTTCTTTTCTTGTCGTTGGGAAGCCACTGAGGAATTATGAGTGGAGGTGGGACATAAGTAGAGCGGTTTGGGGAAAGCCAACCCTAACAACAGGGCCAGTGTCAAACTCCCAGAGTAGCACACTGTATGCTCTTAGCCTCAAGGGAGGCCTGGGGCTGCTCTTGAGTTCCTCTAAATTTCTGTCTTGGCGGGTATGTTGGGAGGGGAGTCAGAGTCGGTTGGGGTTTCTCTAGTTGGGGAATTTAGGGAGATACAAACCTCCTGGCTCTTTGCCTTCTACAGCTCTGCTCTCTCAGGATGCTGATGTTAACCAGAGAGAAAGCTTAGAAGATGCTCTAACGGCAGAATCCAAGGTGAGTTTCCTCTAGTGTTCTTGACATTGCTTTTTGGTGGATAAGATGATAGCCTTGCCTTCCTTGTGGGGAGAAGGGGAGGGGCAGGGAAATAGATGAAGGACGTTCCGTCCAGGGAGCTCAGTGTAAATTACCATTGAATCCAAAACTGGACCTCAGTGCTGGCAATTTCTCTGCACATAGTAGCCTTTCTTCATGTAGCTCTTATTTCTAATCTGCATCTCAATTTTTACACGATGCTAACTTCTGTAGAGAAAACAAATGTATTCTAGGCCCCCAAAGCTAACAAATATCACATGGAAGATAAGATAAATACTAATAAGCTACTCAAAAACAAAATATTTCAGTGAGAAGGCTCTGATATTCTTGGAGTTGTAGACATAATACTTGTGAACTTGGAAAAATGCCTCTTGGTATAGTACTGGGAGCAGAGGTCAAATTGCAGCCAAGGGAGAAGTAGTAGAGAAGAAAGAGTCAGGCCGCCCGGTGTACACAAAAGCCAGGATACCCAGAGCAGGCCTAACAGGTGTCAGATGTGGGAGGATACTCGACACCTGGCAGAAGCCAACTGTTACCACAGGTGTTCAGGAAAACTTGACCAGACACTCAGCACATGGACAGGGTCAGAACAACTTGAACTCTGGCTGAAAAGGAGCATATTTGATGTTGTAGGGTCTATTCACCTTCAAGGACGTATCTGTGGACTTCACCCAGGAGGAATGGGGCCAGCTAGCCCCTACTCACCGGAATCTGTACCGGGAGGTGATGTTGGAGAACTATGGGAACCTGGTCTCAGTGGGTAAGGATGGGCCCTCCGGACAACCAGAAATCTTCCCACTGCAGGCGAGTTGTGATTTTTAAATCATTACACGTACATCCTTTGACCTTGGGTTCTGTATCGGCAATGGCTCGTTCTTTTGAAAGCCAAGCCTGGGCCCGTCTCGTTCTCCCTTGGAGTAGCAGCTTTACTCTGTAGCGCTGGAATGAGGAAAGCATGGTCTGCTCTTTTCCGTTTTTCAGAGGTCCTGAATACCAGAGGCCTGGAGCTGAATTCTGGGGATGGCTTTTAGGGATCAGCAGAAACCTGCATTCTCTTTTTTTACTCTGCAAGCAGGGTGTCGGTTTTCCAAACCTAGTGTGATTGCCCAGTTGGAGAAAGGAGAAGAACCATGGCCAACAGAGAAAGAAGTTCCAGGAGATGTTAATTCAGGTGAGACCAAAGCGGGTGCTACCTCTGAATATGTACTAGGCTGTGGCCACGCAACCTTTCTCTAAGCCAAATTTCACTCCTCCTCCCATTATCTTTTTCATTCTCTTGAATCCACGCAAAAGTCTCTCTGGGATTGGAGCGAAGCAAGGACTTGATTTGCTCTCATTAAAATTAAACTTCATTTCCCCTTGTTTTCTTCAGTATCTTAAGGCTCTGGTGACCAATGGCTTCTTCCCTTAGATATGTATAACCTCATCAGCATTTCACAGATGTTTCATTTTCCCTCTTGTCTGTTTCCCCATTTTACCAACCTTACTACCTTTACAATTTCAGCTTCAACTCTGGTTCTCTCTTTAACTTACATATTTAAGTTTCATGCAACAACTTTTTTTTAATACTTTTATTAGGGGCTTATACAACTCTTATCACAATCCATACATACATCAATTGTGTAAAGCGCATTTGTACATTCATTGCCTTCATCATTCCCAAAACATTTGCTCTCCACCTAAGCCCCTGGCATCAGCTCTTCATGCCCCCCCCTCTCTGCTCGCCCTCCCTCATGAACCCTTGATAATTTATAAATTATTATTTTGTCATTTCTTGCCTGTACGACGTCTCCCTTCACCCAGTTTTCTGTTGTCCGTCCCCCAGGGAGGAGGTCACATGTAGATCCTTGTAATCCGTTCCCTCTTTCCAACCCACTCTCCCTCTAC